TGTGCAAGTGGAGGCCATGGTTTGGAGGGCCTTCGCCTTGCTTATAGTGGTGCAGCAGCTGCATCACTACCTAGAGTGAAAACACCTGACTATAATATACCCTTAGCACCTCTTGATTGAATTTCATAATGCGCTTATAGGGGGCTGCCTTTGAAGACCACCTGGAAAGTGTATTTGATTCAAAAGATAGCATCCAATTCATTGGCCAGAGCTTCGAGTAGGTCCTTTACTGAGTGTATAGCACTGCAAGTTTTAATTTATAAAGCCCTATATTGCTTGACAATATAGGTGTTCCAACCAGAAATTGACACACTGAGCCACCCAGGATAAACTGTTTGTGGTTCCTATTTCACGAAGTGAGAAAGGGTGAGGCAAAACAAAAAAACCCTTGTTTTCCAGCTCAACATTAGTGGCACACTAGTTTTTTTTTAATGTAGCACTAGTGCTGTGGGACAACATTGGCCTAGATTTCTTTGGTAATGACTTTTCAGAAATTTGCGAAAATTTATCTTTTCTAAGGGGAATTTTGTCACTGTTGTGTTAATATTTTGTTTTATCACATATCTATTTTGACATTGTTGGAGGTAGATGGGTTTCTTTGGCATTATTAACATGACAGCTGTAATTTTTTATTATGTATTTATTAGTCTTGAAAGCCACCAAGAGTCTTGAAGGATTTGGTAATCAACCAATAAAATACATATATATACACATGCACACAATGTATGGCTCTATCTGTTTAATGTGAATATTCAGGCTTTATTTGCTCATGTTGCTCACACTGGTTGCACAAATCCAAAAGTGGTGGAGTCAGTCCTGTTTTGATGAAATTATATAAACTGAATGAGCCAACACAGCATTTTTGTGTGTGACATCTGCTGGTGGGCTGCAAGCCAGTTAGCTAGCTAACCAATGGGAAAATGTAAAAAGTGGAAAGAGAGATGCATAGAGGTGAACCTGAAGAGAAGAGTGGTTCTATCCATCATTGACCAAGTGGCATCCCTGGAAATAAAATACTTATCAAACTACTATTTTTTCATTCCCTTATCTAGTATAGAACAGAAAGGAAGAGGAAGGATCGGAGCTAAGGAGCAAAAGATGTTTTATGCAAATGCTCACGTGGCAGTAATTGGGAACAGAATAAGTTCAGTGGAGACGGAGTGCTTTGGTAACATGCAAAACCAGGAATGGAATTGCCCAGCAGGCAAGTACATAGTTAACCCACCCATTAGGAATAGCTGGCTAGCAGTAATTCTGCAGAGGCATACACAGTGTCATTTTGCCATCAGTCAAGCAAAGCAGAGTGAATTTGGGATAGCATCCAAGATCTTGGGTAGAAAGTGATCAAGGGAGCCAAAGATGATATAATGGTGAAACAGGCCCTTACTCAGCAGTTTAAATTAGAGTTTGACTAAACATTTAGAAACATTGAACTGTAATTGGCATAAGTCAAATTAAAGTTTACATCTGGAGTAGAATGTAATGAATTCTACTTCTGTTTGAATCTTTTTGGACCTTTTTTGAAGAGATGAAATTAACAAGATAGGCACTAGCAGTAGTTCCAACATTAGATCCCACAAATACAACTCTTGCCCCTGTAATTTGTAAATCAAGTTCAACAAGAACAAATAAAATCTCAATATCCTCATTTTTAATTCAGGAGGCCGACCTGCTCCCCTTTTATTGCTTTTGCATAAAAACATGTTAACATGTTCTTCGTCATAATACAACACTTTATTAGACTAATCAGTGGACTTCAAGATATTGAAAATACATCATTTACACTGGCCTTGTTCGCTGCAAGCAGAAAATGCCACAGAATAAATCAAATTTGTTCACCCTAGTGAAGTGTTAGACATCTTAGATGTCTTAGGATGGCAACCCTTGATCAGCATAGATTGAAGCAAGTTAAAGCCTTTTAATATCTAGGAGTTTTTGTTCAATAATCTGTAGTGTGGAAGAAACAAAACCATTTCTGACTAGATTTAAAAGACAGCAAATAACCATTTGCCAGTAGCAGATTATGTATTACAGTACTGTTTTAAGGCTAAGACTCTTGCTTCATAGCTCTCCAGTTTGTATTTATAAAGTTCTAAGGTCTCTAGAGTACATTTTGCAGTATCCTTCCCCTGGGGTGGAAATGGAGATTTTGCAGTATCCTTCCCCTGCCATGCCCACCTAGCCACGCCCACCAAGACACACCACTCCCACCAAGCCACACCACTCCCACCAAGCCACGCCCACAGAACCGGTAGTAAAAAAATTTGGATTTCATTTCACCACTGGATCAAACTGCAGGAAGGACTACTCCCAACCATGTGCATTTTTTTTTTAAAAAAAAGTGCCTTCAGATCAGTTCTTGAGTGCTAGTGACTTCCTGCATAGTCCCTCCAGTTTTTTTCCTCCCCAGGGCTTGCTTGCCCTTGTTTCCTTCCTAGGGCTGGGAGTGGGGGTCCCAAGGTTAATCAGCTGTTTTGGTCCCCAAGGTGAAACTAGAACTCAGTGTCTCCTGATTTCTAGCCTAATGCCTTACACACTATACCAAACTGGCTTTTGTATGCAATGGCTATTTTCTCAGCCTTCATTCTGGTGAAAGGGAATAAAGTAGTCTCTGCAGAATTCTACTTTCTACCTTGCCTTGCCTTTTTGTGTGTTATCCCCATTAATCTATCTGATTAATTCTCCCGCTAGTTGTTCTTTAGCAGCAACTGAGTACCAATTATATCAGTGGGTTCTCCTAGGATATGAAGAGTCAAAGGTAGGAGGCTAACACATGAATCATTATATGTACAATGATACTCTGAACATAAAAAAGGATGAAGTGGGTGGGGGGAGTGTGCACCTAATATTTTATTGTTGCTGACAGATGCCAAAAAGAATGAACCTCAAAGAATTAACCTCTTTGTTTAGCAACTGAACAGTTGTGGCAGAGGCTGCTTCTCCCACACTGCTTAATGATTTGGCCGCATTAGAAAGTAGAGGAAAAAAGCTTGTTCTGTTTCCATGACTATTCACCCTTTAGCATCTCAGCTGAAGGGGACAACAACTGATCCTATTGATGTCAACTCCAACCACTACATAGTAAGCTGCAAGCTACAAGTTGCATTTAATATTGGCCAATAAATATGCTAACCACATTCTGACAATACTTGTCTTTTAAAAATGTTTAGGATTTTTGTTTTGTATGTTAAATTGCAACTGAATTTATAAATACTGAGGAAGATATAATGCACAAACATTGGCATACTCTATTACTATACTGTAAATAGAAGAAGACTTAGATATATTATTTGTTATCTGCATTACATGGAGAAAAATGCCTGCCTTTACTTTTGCTTTTTGTTAGACATGCCATATTGACTCCCAAAATTCTTCTACGGTTGTCAATCCAAGAAGTTTTTTTTTAGAAGAGAAATTACAGTTACGCAAATTTGGCTGACCTATGCAGACTTGTTGACTTTTTCCAAAGGAGAAACCAAATTAAAACCAAGGGAAGAATTGGAAATAAAGGGTCGTATTTGTCAATGACATGCTCAGTTGGCAGAAATATTTAAATTGGACAAGTTTGATTGTATAAATAAGAAAACCAATTTTGAATTGGATCTGTGTACCATTGATGAGTATGTTATTAATAAGATGTATACATTTTTACTGAAACTGAATTATGAATATGTTAACGATTGTGTGACTAAATGGGAAAATGGATATAATATGCCTTATCAATGGGAGAATATATGAAATATATATTGAATTATAATGTGAAAGAGAATTTTTATAAGAAGAAGTACCCTTGGGATTTAACACATGATAAATTATCAAAGATGTATAAGGGTGTGTCAAATATATGTTGGAAGTATAACCTATTTGAAAATACTTTTTATCATTTTTAGGGGACATGTAAAAAAGTTAAAAATATTGGGATCAGATATGTATACTTTAATTCAGAGAATTCTTGGAATAAATGTGCAATTGAAATAAAAAAAATTCTTTTAGGTTTGATTTAGAAAAACATCTTGAAAATAAACATGGGACCCTGTTTTTATGTATAATAACAGCAGCAAAACTTTTCTATGCACTGAGAAAGACTTACAGATTCCCACAATGCAAGTATCTGTATCAAAGGAAGTCAGAAGTTATTTTTTCCCCTTTTTTTGCACCCCTACTCGTTCCCTTCTTGACCTTTGCTTTCCAATTACTCTTTAGTTTTCTGTTTATTTTACTTTTTATTGTTACTTAAGTTTTATGAAACAAATAAACAAAGAAAATAAAATGTGTAGGCTAAAATAATCTCTCCAGCTGCCCATTCAACTTTTTGAAGCCCCACTTATCAGTTTACAGATATGAATTTATTACTAGTTATATTTAAAATTCCACTCCTGATTATCATTCTTTCTTCTATCTGCTGATTACATCCTTTTGTCTTTTTTCAATTGTGCAGAGTTGCATGTGTCTGGCCAAAATCGCTTACAGATATTCCACTGATTATTATTCAGGAAAGTCTACCTACATTGTCTCTGTTAGAATGATGAGACTGATTCCTGGATCATTTCCAGGAAAGTGAAATCACCTATGAGCATATGATCACCAACGATCCAGTCAGCCATTTTCTAAGTCCTTCCAACTGCTGCAAAGCAGGCTAAGAGGTCGTTACTTCCTGCATTTTTACTAAAGAACTGAACAGAAAATTTGAAAAACTACACTATCATGATTAATTTCATACCACACCAGATAGATGGAGGTGGTCTTATCAACCTCCAATTTTTCTGTGTCATTTTCACCCTAAAAAGAAAATCAGGACCCCATATTATTATTTATTAAATTTATATGCTACCCATCTCACTATCAAGCAACTCTATTAGCCTTGGCAGTAGGAAGGGAAGCTAACTTCCTGCACACTTTCAAATGATATAGCAGAGTGGAGGAATTAATTTAGTCCCAAACAGTCAGAGTGGCTCTTAGGGATGAAAACTATATCCTGAATAATATGGGCTTTGCCTTACCTGAAAGCCCTTTCTGATTGCGGTGGGTCCGGTGGTCCTCTTCCATGGGGAGTGCTCTTCCGATGACGTCGGATCGGGTCTGCTAGCTGAGAAGCTCCTCCCTTCCTGTAGCCTCCCAGCTTTCTGATGAGATTCGATTTGTAGCAGACCTACACGGTGAGCTGCAAGAAAGGAAACAGGACACCAGAACCCCGCCGAATCGGCCCTGGGCATAACAGGGCGGGGCGGACCACCGGACCCACCGCAATCAGAAAGGGCTTTCAGGTAAGGCAAAGCCCATTCTCATTGAACGTGGGTCCGGTGGTCCTCTTCCATGGGACATACCAAAGCGTGAAACTATAGGGAGGGAGTTGCCCTGGCCGATGAGGAGGTCCGCTGGAGGACCTGTTGGAGTACCCTACGCCCAAATGCTGCATCCGCAGATGCAAACTGGTCTAGTCGATAATGCCTAATGAACGGGGTAGGGGACGACCAGGCCGCAGCCCGGCAGATTTCCTCCAAGGAGGCTTGGGTGGCCCAGGCGGCCGAAGTGGCCGCACTGCGGGTGGAATGGGCCGTGATCCTGGGTGGAACTGGCAAGGCCTGGGACCCGTAAGCCGTGGCTATGGTGGCCCTAATCCAACGCCCCACTGTAATGGATGAGACTTTTTGGCCCATACTAGATGGCTGGAAGGAGACTAGAAGGGATTCTGATCTCCGAAAGTCAGATGTCCGATGGATGTAGATCCGAAGGGCTCTCCTCACGTCCAGGGAGTGCCAGGCTCGTTCTAAGGGCAGGCTAGGACGTGGACAAAAATTTGGAAGGACTAGTTCCTGTGCCCTGTGGTAAGGGGAATTCACCTTAGGGAGGAACGTGGGGTCCAACCTAAGTACCACCCGGTCAGGATGAAAAACGCAGAGATCAGCCCTGATGGAGAGGGCTGCCAACTCTGAAATCCGCCTGGCCGAGGTTATGGCCAGTAGGAAGGCGACCTTATAAGACAGGAAACGTAGGCCCACTGACCTTAGGGGCTCGAAGGGAGCCTTCGTGAGGGCGTCTAGCACTAAGGGCAAATCCCAGGAGGGATATCTGTGGATAGACCCCGGGCGAAGGTTGGAAGCCCCCCTGAGGAAGAGGCGGATGAGGGAACGACTCGAGAGGGAATGTCTAGAACCGCAACACAAAATGGTGGATAGGGCGGAGACCTGCCGACGGAGCGTGTTAGGGGCCAGGCCTGCCTCAAAGCCGTCCTGCAGAAACACCAGTACCTGTACCGTGGAGGCCGACGTAGGGACGATGGAGCGGTGGTTGCACCATGACACAAAGGAGCGCCAGGTGGAGTCGTAAATCCGTGTTGTTGACGGGCGTCGAGCCGCTTGGATAGTGTTGGCGACCCGAGAAGGAATCTTGGACTTCTTCAGCAAGCTCCGCTCAACCGCCAGGCGGTTAGCTGAAGCCACGCCGGATCCGGGTGCAGTAACGGCCCTTGACGAAGAGTCACTTTGTCTCGAGGAAGACGCCAGGGATGACGGACGGACAGGGCTTGGAGGTCCGCGAACCATGGCCGACGGGGCCAGAACGGGGCAATCAACAGGAGCTCCGCCCGGAGGAACAGCATCTTTCTGATGACTTTGGGAATGAGAGGCAGAGGCGGAAAGGCATAGAGGAGGCCGGCCGGCCAGCTGCTGTGTATTGCGTCCACTGCCTCCGCCCCCGGCTCCGGGTAGCGAGAGAAGAATCTCTCTGTCTGGCGATTGGCCCGAGTGGCGAACAGATCCACCACCGGGAGGCCCAGGCGGTCGGTGATCATCCGAAACAGGCCCGGGTCGAGGGCCCACTCCCCTTGGTCCACTGACTCCCGGCTGAGCCAGTCCGCCTGGGTGTTCGTCACGCCCGATATGTGAGATGCCCGGAGGGACCTCAGGTGAGACTCCGCCCAGGCTCCCAGACTCTCGGCCTCCTGCATGAGGTGGCGAGACCGGGTCCCCCCCAGGCGGTTTACATGAGCCTTGGCGGCTACATTGTCCGTCCGTACCAATACGTGTTTGTCTGACACCTGATCCTGGAAGATCCGAAGGGCCAGGTGGATGGCCCGAAGTTCCAACCAGTTTATATTGTGTGTCAGATCTGACTGGGACCAGCACCCCTGGGCCATGGACGAGGACAGGTGGGCCCCCCAGCCCAGGAGACTGGCATCTGTAGTCAGAATAAGGAATTGGGACACCCTGAACTCCCTCCCCTTGAGGACTGCTGCTGAAGACCACCACTGGAGGGAGAGGAGAACTTTGTGGGGAAGGAGGACCTTGCGGTCGGAAGTCCCTAGATGACGTTTTTGGAACGGGATCAGAAACCACTGCAGATCCCTGCAGTGGAGACGCGCCCAAGGGATGATCCCGATGCAGGAGACCATCTTTCCCAGGAGCTTGGACAGGGCTGCCAGGGAGACTGGTCTCCCTGACGACACTGACCTGACCAGTGACCGCAGGCTGGACAGGCGGTCCTGGGAAAGATAAACCTTGCCTTCCACCGAATCTATGATGGCTCCCAGGTGCTGTATGCGAGTCGTGGGTATCAAATGGCTCTTGGCCATGTTGACGGAAAACCCGTGGCTCTCCAGGACCTGGAGGGTGGTGTCCAAGTCCTGGCGCGCTAGATCCTCCGAAGTCGACTGGACGAGGAGATCGTCCAGATAGGCCTGGATCCTTACTGGAAGAGTCCGGAGGTAGCCCACTAGCGCGGCCATGATTTTTGTAAAAACTCGGGGGGCCGAGGATAGGCCGAATGGGAGGGCTCGATATTGATAATGACGACCCGCATAACAGAAGCGGAGGAACTGCCTGAAGGCCGTGTGGACTGGAACGTGGAGGTAAGCCTCCGTCAGATCTATTGAGGACAGATGGTCCCCGGGCCTGATACCCTCCAAGATGGAGCTGAGGGACTGCATTTTGAACCGACGGTATCGGATCCGTCGGTTCAGGGATTTGAGGTCTAGAATTGCCCTCCAACCCCCCGACGACTTCTGGATGACGAACAGGCGGGAGTAAAAGCCTTGTCCGCGCAGCTCCTGAGGTACCGGTTCGATGGCCTGAATCTCGAGAAGATGTTGAATGGCCGATACCATCAGGAGCCGACGAGCCCGATCCCGAGAGAAAGGGCATTTGAGAAATCGGGTCGGGGGTGTGGAGAGAAATTCGAGGGAGAGGCCCACCCTGACAGTCTCCCTGACCCAGGTGTCCGAGGATGTGGCCTCCCATTGGCTGGCAAACAGGGCCAGGCGGCCTCCGATGGGAAGGCTGGACGAACCGTCAGCGGGATCTGCGGGCGGAGCGCCCACGATCCCCACGGAAGGGGCGCCTAGATTGGCCCCGCTGAGATTGGAACCCTTGACGCTCGGAGGGGCGGAATTGTCTGGATGGAAAGGACCTCTGACCTTGTCGAGGGAAGGAGAATCCTTCTGGCCCTCGAAAGGGACGAAAGGAGGAGGAGGAGGAAGAGGGGAGGAATCTTTGTCCCGACCTACGAGACATGGAAGGTAAGTATTTACGCTTGTCCCTAGATTCTGCTAGGAGAGGTTCCAATGGAGCCCCGAATAGGAAGGGGCCTTCAAACGGGGATGTCGCCAGACGCCATTTAGATTTGGCGTCTGCCTGCCATTGTCTGAGCCAGGAAAGTCTACGGGCCGTGATAGTTGCCCCAATGGCCTTGGCCGTGAACCTGGATGAATTCAAGGTGGCATCGGCCGAAAACTCTAAAGCTGCCAGTACCTTAGTAATGTCCTGCTGAGAGCGTAAGTCAGACACTGGAAGACGTTCCTGCAGTTGCTTGAGCCAAAGAATGGACGCTCGGTTAAAGAAGGAAGCAGCCATTGAGGATCTGACGGCCCATGCAGAAGCCTGGTGAGACTTGACCAACACGTGTTCCAGACGGCGTTCCTCCGGCCGGAGGTTCTCCTCTGGAGGGCCCGCAGTATACGAAGAGGTCGAAAGGGCGGCAACCGGAGCATCCACCGAGGGCACCTGCAGAAGGGAGGAAAACTCCGGGGCCATATTATAAATGCGCTTGTCCAACGCATTGGGTCTAGGCCCCGAAGCAGGGGCAAGCCATTGCTTAGTGAGGACATCCCGGAACAATTTGGGGCCTGGGATCTCTTCGGTTTCAATGAGAGGTTCCTCAAACAGAGGCACTGAAGAAGTCCCCTCCCCAGCCGGATTAGGGCGGGGTGTTCCTAAACCAGTCGTTAACTTAGCTTTGTGCAATAAGGACCTGAACAATTGGGGTTTGAATAGGCCTATGAAAGAAGGTTGGTCTGGGGTTAAGTCTTCATCATCAGACAACTCAGTGTCCTTAACCTCCTCACCGGTGAGAGAACCTTGGACAGAAGAAGCTGATGAATGAGCTCTGGCAGGGGGTTGAACCCTATCTGACATAAGACCTGAACCTTCCACATCTATGTGAGAGGGTGAATCAGAAACCCATGAGGCTGTTCTGCGCTGTCTGTCGGCCTGAATGCCTTGCTGAATGGCCTGATGGATATAAGCCACCAAATCTGGGGAAATTACAGGCCCCTGCCCTTGGTTATCAGAACTCTGCAGGACTGGGGAAGGAGAAACCCTGCCCCCCCCCGGGGATTGAGCCCTAGAGGGCTCTTCTTCTTGATTCCCAAAGAGAGATTCATTAACTTGTTGCTGTGGCTGAACAGAAGCCCCATCCCCATCCGGGGATAAGGCTGGAGGCAAGGCCTGGGCAATGGGTTCAGGTCTCACAGGAGAGGAGGCCCGAGCAGGGATAGAGGCTGAGGCCTCAGCTTCCTTAATAGAGGCCTCCTTGAGGGCCTTTTGTATTGAACGTTCAATTGCCTGGTGCAGCCTCATCTCCTCCCTTGATCTAGAATCAGAAGATTTGGAGGAGGATTTTTTTGTCTTTTTTGTAGGAACCTCAGCTGAAGTTCCAGGTTGGTCCAAAGAAGGGCCCTGTCTCTTAGTCTTAGACTGTCTGGTGGGAGCCATTGTAGAAAGAGGCCCAGACCTCGCAGAAATGCAAAATGGTGGAGGGAGCAGAAAGGCCAAAATGGCGGCTGCCACGAGGTGAGCAGGGATCCCTGGAGAGGCCTAGGAAGGCTGCAAGCCGTCTGCCAAAGAAAGGGCAAATAGAACAATTAATCCAGGAGGGGAGGATGATCCTTAGTTAATCCCCCCCCCCCGCAGGGAGAAACTTACTTTGGCAGCAATGAGTTCCAATTAGACTGTGCTGTCTCCTTTGCAATTCCCTCCAGGCGCGTGGGCGAAAGCCCAGGGGGCGCCAAATCGCTGCTGAACAGGCAGGAAAAATCGCCCTGCCTGCAGTCCTGCCGGAGCTGAAAGGAGAGCCGGAGGAGAATGGGGCGATTAGGCCCGAGGGAAAGGCTCCCAGCTCCTGTGCCTTCCGGCGCGATGCAGCCCAATGGAGCAGTGGAGGCTCCGCCTTCCCCGCCCCTTCTGAAGCCGGTGCGGCGGCGGGGAAGCAACCACCTAATCCCTGCCTGAGGGCTGCTGCAGCGGCATAGGGAGTTTAACCCCTCTCGCTGCCAGAGAAATCTCCACCTCGAGGGAGCTTAACTCACCTCGATCAGTCCTCAGCGGCCTCGGGACGAAACCTTGCTCGCTGGGAATTATTCCCCCCCCCCCTGGGGGAATCAGGCAGGCAACAATTTAGAAGTCCAATTAGCTGGAAGGCAGGGATCAATTTAGAATATCCAATTAGAGTTATAATACTTCCAAAGTTATGGAGCAGCTCAAACCGTGACTTGATCCAAATCGGATCGAGTCTGAAAGCTGGGAGGCTACAGGAAGGGAGGAGCTTCTCAGCTAGCAGACCCGATCCGACGTCATCGGAAGAGCACTCCCCATGGAAGAGGACCACCGGACCCACGTTCAATGAGAAAATGCAGAAACAATCTTAATATAGTAAGTTCAGTGATCATCAAAACAGCATATAATTCTCTCCTTTTGTAACTGCTGCAGTTTCCATCCTTTTTCTTCTTCAACTACAGTGAAACAGATGGCAGAGTGTTGTCGAACTCATCCATATCCTATTGTTCTTTGTCTACATGTTTTACAAGCTCAGTGGCATATATGTGTTTTTATAGCCTCTGCTGCAATGATGGGGGTGGTAGATAAAATGGCAAAGTGACCTACATTGAAAAGGATTTCCCCTGACCATATCTGTTTGATTAGCGATTTGAGATGATGAGATGGAGTGGAAGAAATTAATATATAGCAGAAGCCAATAGCAACGAAAAAGGGGAATTGGGTTAAAAAAAGTTTCACCTCTTAATAATGACTAAAAATCAATTCTCTATATGGAACACAGATATGGAACACAGATTAAAATTTTAAAATCTGTTCTCTAATGAAAAATAGAAGGGCTAAAAATACATCCTTGACTGAAAATATTTTCTTACCCATTACAGGAAAATGCAGAATGAAAAGTGACAGTAACTCATCTTCATTATCTACAAAGCAATCAATTTAAAAACAGGAAGTCAGCACCATTAAAAGTTCATTTTTTTTCCTTTTGTACCAGCTGAAGGGGAGAGCCTTAAGAGCTCATTTTGTCTCTGTGTGAAATCTGTGTCTTGACTTCTTCTGTCTCTGCCTTTATGACTCTTTGCAATGCTTCCTGTTATGTTTGCTGCAGCTGTATCCTCCACATCAGTCAAACTAGCACATTCTTCTTCTCATGGATTCCTTTCACAAAGGATTTCCTAAAACACCCGTCCCATATTTGCTATAATTGGTTACCACTATGGAAGCCAAATCCTGTTTGTTCTTTGTTGTCTAAAATAATGTTTTTTATCTTCTTGATCCATACAACCTTCATTTGTCTTACTATTCAACTGTCATTCATTCTCCCTGTTATGACCAACTACCTCAACATACGTTGTCCTTATTGATTATTCATTTTGTATTGAACCTGTACTCTTTCAGCACCCATTCATGCTTGACTATGTCTTCTCGTTTTATACAACCATTTATTTTTTTCAGTATGAAGCTACCACTGCATCCAACTTACTTCTATGTTTTTCTTGACATAACTCTTAATTTGATATAACAAAGTGATCAAAAGCACATTCTTATACACAGCCATTTTCATATTTTCTCAATAAAAATGTATTCCATGTGAAAGATCAGACACGATACACAGTACTTTTCTCCTAGCATTTATACAATTTAAGATTTCTCCACCCATTTCCCTACTATAGTAAAGATTCAAAGTTCACAAATTCATATACTTGCTCTAGCTTTTTCGAATCAGTTTACTTTGCAATTATGAATTCCATTTTTCTTGTCAAATATGATCGCTTTGGGCTTTGACACATTAATTTTCAGATACACACCCCTTGTTGCTTCATATAATCTAACATTTGCTGCAAATCATTTGGATTCTAAGCCAATAACACCATATCTACTTACAAAAATACAACACATTCATGGCTCCAAACATTACACACATTTTCTAATCATTTATGTATAACAAACAGAAGACAATACACCTCCCTGTCTCTCTATTTGATGTCGAATCATTTGCTAAGCATTACATTTATTTTTTACCTACCTATCTACTAAATTTATTAGGCTGCCGATCTCACTTGCATGTGACTCTGGTTGGCATACACAATTAAAACACACAAAAAAATCAGAGTCGTCTTCTATGAAAAACTATTTAAAAAATTAAGTTATATTTAAAGATGCAAGAGGGGAGTGCACTCTAACTACGTACAACAAATCCATTTAAAGGATTCCACAATTCCTTTGGATCTCCAAACCCAGTTGCCACATCCAAGTTTTGAGGGCATTGCAAAGGTACGCAGGGTTGGGGCCAATCTTACCTCTGGGAGAATGAGGTTCTATTTATTCTCATGACTTCTTTCATTTCATTACTCATGTTTTAGTTCCATTATATCCGTCTCTTATCCAATTCAGATGTACGGTAACTTTCAATTACATATTGGAAAAAATATTCCATTATTCAAGCCTATTCATGTTATCATATGCTTTCAACGAATCAACAAATGGGCAATTAATTTTTCATATTCATACATTTCTTAATGATTTGCTGAAGAGCAAAAATCTGGCCCGCACATTCCCTGCCCACTATAAATCTGCACTGTATTAATAGCTGTATGTTTAGTAGAAGTCCCTAAGTCATACAGCTGCTTCTTAAGGGCAGTACCATCCTCTCAAAATATCACTCTGGAGCCAACACACAACGTCAATGAAACAGCAGCTCCACCTTGCTTAAGTTAAATTTCAGATTGTTTTATCCAATCCAGACCTCAACACCCTCCAGGCACAACAAAATTTCAACAGCATCTCTAGATGAACCTGAGGTTGCAATTTACAACTGAATATCATCAGTATATTGACAGCATCTACTCCAAATCTCCTGATTATATCTTTTACTGGTTTCATTTTAAATCTTAGATATTATGGGGAGAGCACCAATTATTCTCTTAGCAGCCTTCTGAGATTCAGCTTCTGAGCATTCCCAGTGCCAGGAAGAATCCAGATAAACTGTTTTTCCTTTCTCTCTCTCTCTCTCTCTCTTTTCTAGATACCTTCCATCACCACCCATTATCTTTTATATTCATGGGCTCTCCGACTTTACCATTCACAAGGTAGCCATCATTCCAGTGGTGGGTTCCTCCCAGTTCGGTCCGGTTCGGCTGAGCCGGTAGCGGTGACGATATGACCTCACCGAACCGGTTCTCCCCCCCCCTCCCTCCCACCCACCCACGTTATTCTTACCTTTTATTTGGTCCCACCCCCAATCTATTGCTGCCTCCTGAGTCCCAGCTGATGACTAGAGGGGAAAAAAACTGTTTAAACTTTTGCCGCGGGGCTTCAAAGGGCCGTCCTAGTGTTAAAAGCAAACAAATGAGTCGGGTCGTAAGTGCGAGGACTGGTCGTGTGAGGACCTTCCAGAAATGACTCTGACCAGCTAGCCACGCCCACCTAGTCACATGACCTCCAAGCCACACCCACAAAGTAAGCCATGCCCACAGAACCGGTAGTAACAAAATTTAGAACCCACCCCTGCATCATTCCTTCTCTTCTGCCATGATTATGTGCCCTATATGGTACAGTAACAACTTAGGCAAAAGGAGAGATGGGACTCTGTGGGAAGGAAAGACCATGGAAGGGCCCAGGGGTGAGATCTAGTTAAAAGAAGATGGCGGTGTAGGGGAGGGAAAGGGGTGAAACTGATTTACATAGTGAATGCAGATAGCATCTTTTAAGCTGTGGTGCTGGATTTTCCATTAGAGAATGCTTGCTGTGCAACAATGATCTTAAGAATGACAAAGACATGAGTGAGATATGGGTTATAAGGGTAATGTATAAAATAGTGGGCAATCACTTAGCTCATGTTTTAAAATGTGATTTAAAGATGCTGGCTTTTCAGCTTTCTTCTCAGAAAAATAAGCAACCAGAATGTCTGAGAGATGATGCAAAATCTGTCTGCAAATGAACTGTCATTTTGCATACCTGCACTGTAATTGTTAACATCCTGTTCCTGTCTAGACTTCAGCTCAAGGAGACTTTGCATAAGATTCTTCTTGCAAGCAAAAATCCAAACAGCCTTTTGAAAAGCAAATCAGAGCAAACTTCTTGCACTCCTAATGAAAAGGTACAACTCTCAATCTAACTGCTTCTTCCATTCACATCATCTTCCTCCTCTTTCTGGTTGTTATGCACATGAAAAAATGAGCTCACTCTTCATCAATTCTATTTGCTGGAAAAAGCTCCAGTGCGGATGCCAAAGCTTCTTCTGATACTACCAAATGCTGCTAGAACTGCTTGTCTACTTCAAGACAAGACTAAGCAGTTCATTAAGGTAAATCGCACTAACTCTGCTTTGATGAAGACAATTGTACTGCCTCCTGGATGTGATACGCCTTAATTTTTTAAAAAATACCCCAAGATCACAGGCTTGGATTGGTAACTTATGATTAGAAAATAAGTGAATTAACACTTCAAACTAAGCCTTGGAATGAGGCAGAATTATTATTCAAAAAGGACTCATGCCACTTTTCAAATTCTTAAAATGGAATACACAAGCCATTTCTTTCCCATCCATTGTCTCCTGAATTATGTGGGTGCAATGGTGTCTTCAGATATACCGGAGAGCCTGTTAGAGATTTTTTAAAACAAGCTTTCATAAGAGATTATTATTTCATAGCAGTTTACAGGTATGAGTAAACGTATAGGTAAAGGTTCCCCTCGCACATACGTGCTAGTTGTTCCCGACTCTAGGGGGCAGTACTCATCTCCGTTTCAAAGCCGAAGAGCCAGCACTGTCCAAAGACGTCTCCTCATGTGGCCGGCATGACTAAAGGCGCATGGAACGCTGTTACTTTCCCACCAAAGGTGGTCCCTATTTTTCTACTTGCATTTTTTACATGCTTTTGAACTGCTAGATTGGCAGAAGCTGGGACAAGTAACGGGAGCTCACCTTGTTATGCAGCACTAGGGATTCGAACCGCTGAACTGCCGATCTTTCGATCGACAAACTCAGCATCTTAGCCACTGAGCCACCGCGTCCCTTCGAGTAAACATATAGAACCATATAAAAACGTTTCAAAAGATCACTCGTAATATAATATCAGTAACGAATCAATCGGATTAAAACAATTGATTTAATTTTTTCTCTTAATAAGCAATTTATGATTTTACTTGATCTGAGTCAAAGGAAATAAAAAACAAAAAGTGGCTTTATATAAAACTAGTTCAACAGTACAACACTGTCATTGAATTAAAATGTTTAACGTGAAAGGGAAGATTAAAATTCATAATAAGCTTTAGCTTCAAGTTTGGCCCTACCAATTTTTGTTCTGGCCCTATTTGATTTTGGGGCTGGG